GGAAGTCCATTAGGTTATGCTACCCCAGCTCCTTAAATAATATCCAGAGAAACCTGAGTCCTTTTCCAGGGAATCTGCTATGAGTTTTCCTCTATTGATGAGAGTCCTTGATAGAGATTCTTTTTAATTTTGAATTCTTGAATGTTACTTGTAATTTGATAAAGCCTTTTTTATTTTTTGATGGAGTAAAGGGTAAAGTTCAGTTTAGCTGTTGGTGACTTACTGTTTTTATGTAAAGAAGATGGTCTCTAATACATTGGTTTTATTGACTAATCAGTAATCATTATCAATTATACCTGTCACTGTGCTGCTAGGATAGTTTCTAAGGAGAAAACTTACAAAGAAATTTTAAAATGACCACTAAATACAGAAAGTGATTTGCTTGATATAAACATTTAAAAACCTACTAAAGTATTTCAGTATATCTGTCTTATATTTTTATCATCTGCCTTTTGGTAACTTACTTAATCTCCTCTTTACCTGATAGTTTTATATTTTAAACACTTGCTAAAAATTGCTCCTTTCTACAGGGTGCCCTGCGTGTGCTTTTTTTTGTCTGATATTTTATACGTATGGTGGATGACTTGTAAAATGGGTTTATGGTTGTCCCCTCTCATTTTTTTCCTCTTTCTCTCCTAAGTTCAAGGCATATTCTGTTTAACGATACTTTTGTAATTTGGATGTTGTTATTCATAAAATCATTGAAAGTGCTTTATAATTTTGGTATAAAAGCAAGTGAAAAATTAAAACCTCTCAGTGCAGTGTGGCATTCTGGAACAGAAAAATGACATTAATGGAAGACAAGAGAAATCTGAATGAAGTCTGTGTTTGATTAATAGTAATGTACAACGTTAATTTTTTAGTTTTGGTAAATTGGGTATGTAAGATTTTTTTTTTTTATTTTTGATAAATTCTATGGGTAGGTAAGACATTTTAACATTAGTGGAAGTTGGCTAAAGGATATATAGGAGCTCTCTTTTATTTAGTAGAAATTTAATCTACCAAAAGCTTTAAATATATGGCCATATGACTAAATAGTGGTGAGCCAGGTGCCAGGGGTACAAAGAGTCCTGAGGCTGGTCTCTTCTCTCCAGAATGTCACAATCTTGTTGGCAGGTCAGGGTCTCCTTATCCGTAAAAAGATGAGTAACAGTACCTTTATGAGGCAGCCTGTGCCAGTGAATGATACAAGGAGTCCTGTAAGTAGACACATGGCACGTTTGGAGAGGCCTTTGCAGAACAGGTGAAACATGAGCTGAGCAGGATGGGTGAGTACAACTTAGATAAGTAATGGAGAGGTTGTTCTAAGAGACAGGAGAGGCCATGAATTGAGGAGAAAACACTGGCAGTGGTGATGCAGGGTGGGTTCGTACAGTCAAAATGAGCTAATGGAGACTTGGTGCTAATCAAAGTACAGGATGATGAGGGTCTGACTAATATGCTGGAATTGAGATTTGACAGGATCTGGTGATGACGGATATAGGAGCACAGTAGAAAAACAAATCAGTGGTGACTGATAACGTGAGCCGGTGGAAGTTACTTAGGGGGTTTGTGTTAAGCATTTCATTTTCAGGTAATGCTGAACTGCCAAGTAGACTTGTCTGGCAAGAAGTTAGACCAGAGCTACTGGAGCATGGGAAAGGAGCAAAAGGTTTAGGACTCTGCCTCTGTAGTAAACAAGGAGAAGCCAAGAAGGAAATCTGACAGCAGCATTCAGAGAGAGAACTAACGAGAGGCTGTGGCGATCACTGTCGCGTTCCTGAAGCAGGTGGGGGAGAGTTTCATAAGGAGCATATGCTCGCTCTGGCTGAGATATATCAGGAAGATGACTGTGACACCTTGAAAAAATAGCCATCTGAATCATCATCAGTTGTTCTGAGATTGGTGGGCCTGGAGTCCAGTTTACAGGGGGTTAAGGAGTAAGGTGTGTGTGTGTGTGTGTGTGTGTGTGTCTACAGGAGTGGGTTGTTAAGAACTGGGGACTGCAAATTTACACTAGTTTTTTAAAGAAATTTGGCTCTCCATAGACAAGGATGGATATATATATATATATATATATATATATATATATATATATATATATATATATATATATATATATACACACACACACACATATAAACAGAACTTTCTATCTTGTCTATCACTGCACACTGAAGTCTGCAGTGTGTGTGTGTGTGTGTGTGTGTGTGTGTGTCTACAGGAGTGGGTTGTTAAGAACTGGGGACTGCAAATTTACACTAGTTTTTTAAAGAAATTTGGCTCTCCATAGACAAGGATGGATATATATATATATATATATATATATATATATATATATATATATATATAAATATATATATATATATTTAGACACACACAGACCAATAGCTGAAGAGGGCAAAAGAAGGTTAATTTAATTAAATTTAACAAACATTTATCAAGTGCCAATTATGTGCCAAGGCACTGTGTTAGGGGCAGTGGAGGACACAAAATGTGATTAAAATATAATGTTTTCTTTCCCTCCTGAAAAAGTGCTACCTCAAGTTCTCTTAGTGTTAGGGAGGCAATTCGTCTTAAACACAGTGCTAGAGATGCTGGAATTAGGCTTGCAAGCAGAAGAGCAAAATCAGTGACAGAACCACCTAAGGTGGAGGTGGGGGTGGGGAGTTGGAGAATTGATGGAGCAAGGAAGGGAGAAGGGAAGAAAAGATGTTGCAGGGGGAGGAGTCTGGTCCTTGGAAGGGAGAGGGATCCTCCTTGAAGAGGGGCACAAGGGAGAATAGGAGAAGATTAGTGTTAGAGCTATTTTGAGGTAGAATAGAGTACAAGTAAGGAACCCAGGAAGTCTTCACTATGAATGGCATGTGCTGCAGACTAGGGGTATGTTTTTTGCCTTTGGAAAGTTCTGGATGGACAGAAAAATGAGGCTGTTAGTGCTTATTTTTGGTCCTATGAGACAAAAATAAAAGAAACACCTGGGCCACTGAAAGTACTGCTTTTGGCTGAGGGTTTTTTTTTTTCATATCTAATGAAATAGACATATTTTTTAATTGCTCAGATATTATATGAATGTCTCAGTGCCTGCAGTTAGCTAGGGTGTGTGTCGGATGCAGACTCTCACAGAGCTTAGAGTCCAGGAAAGGTGGTAAGAAGGACATATGCAGACTCTTAATAAATGCTTGCTGATTGAACTCTGATCTGAGATAGAAAGTGGCTATCTGCCCGGCCCATGCACATGAAGTATTATGGGATATAGAGGAGAAAGAGAATTGGAGCACTTTTCTGCTTATTTCAGTAGCACAAGGACTTGAAATAAATTTGCCATATATTTGGCCGAAGGCCTTGTTTCTTCATAGACCTCTTTTCTACTTGTTTAGAAACTATTGTGTGCTCGTGTTTTTTGGTCACAACTAAGTAACAGTACATAAAGAATTAATGAACATGATTTTGGCCACTCAAATGAAGGACGACATTATTTTGAACTCTCCATTTAGGTAGCACGTTGGCAGGACTTTAGGGTGGGCATTGGTTGGTGGAGTGTCTTTATTAGTGCTCCAGTTTGCCATTTTATGTATGTAAAGTTGTCTTAAAAGTGTTGGTACTATTTTATTGACTGTACTTTAAGTGCATGTAGAGTAAGTAGGTGCAGGTCAATTGGAGAGAAGAACTAAGTAGTGCTACCTTTGGACGTTTATTGTCAGACACAGGAAGAGATGCAGAGGGGTAGAGAAGGGAAGTAAAAGTAATTTGGAGAGGAGAAAAAAAAAAAAACTCACGTTTTTCTTTGGAATATTTTTCAAGATGATTCTTACCAGTGAAGGGGAGCAGAACGTGCCACCCCACACATTTTTGAGAAAGCTATTTTGTGCAGTCCTACTTGGAAAGAAAATTATAGAAGAGACTGTTTAGCTATCACAGGATAGGCCTAAAAAGCGATTCTAAAGGTATTAATTAAACTGTAATCACTACAGAAGTTGGTCTGAGAATTTCTCAACACTTGTTCTCACAGAACATTGTTAATAAGCAGGGTATTGGTTGGTGTGGGGCCCCTGTTGAGGGATATATTTAACTGAATACCCTCGGATCACCACCCCTCCCCCTCTCCCCCTCGGAAGAGGCAGCAAGCCCTGCCCACCTCGGTCCCCGGAGCCCAGCTTGCTGCAGCCTCGGCTGAGGTCAAGCACCCCCCTTCCGGCCTCTCGAGGGCTTTCTCCATGTGTTGCCAGTGTGCCGGTAAAAATGACTTTAAACTCTTGTCAGTGCAGTTACTGGTGCGTGCATCACAGTCCCACTCAGATAAACCTGTCACAACACAGAGGCGGCCGCTGGAGAAGAGTACAAGGGCAGGCCTCTAGCTTTTCATTCGAGCATCACTAAACGTGCACAGAGTGCCCAATTATTTCAGCATTATTGAGCAAGCCTACAGGAGGACCCAAGCCTTGCTACATTAGATTTTCTCTAGTAATTTGCTCAAGTACCGCTGAGGACACTTAAAGGGCTTAAAACGGTGGCTGCAACCAGTTTCCTTTTCTGGGTTGTTAATTCAGGTTTTCTCTTTCAAATTAACTGTCGACGCATGCTGTGCAGTGGTTCTGGGAGAGCTGTTTAACACTAATTTTCTCAATTTTCAAGCTTTTTTTCTTCAACATAAATGCCTTAACCGTCACATACATGTTTTGATTAGAGATGTATGATAGTGAGGCTTTATGTTTTGGAGACCAAAATACAGATGCTTTGTTAAATCTAATTTCATCTATTAAAAGTAAATTAGTTCCACTATTTAAAAATTAGGTTATTTACAGTGCATTGCAAAACCACCAAATCCAAGGAAAAAAGAAAGCATTTCTCTATTATTCATCTCCTTCCCTTTTATATATATATGTAAAGAATAAATCTTTCTTTCATGGGTGCTGGGCTTTCCAGGATCTTTTTGCACCTCTTTCCTCTCCTTTTGTTGTTGGGGGGTGTCTCGGATATAGGGAACAAGTTCAATATCTTTGTCTGGTTTCTCACAGCAGCAACAACTCCAGGCCCAGCATTTATCACATGGACATGGTCTGCCAGTGCCTCTGACCCCGCACCCTTCAGGGCTTCAGCCCCCTGCCATTCCGCCCATTGGTAGCAGTGCCGGCCTTCTGGCCCTGTCCAGTGCCCTGGGAGGCCAGTCTCACCTTCCAATTAAAGATGAGAAGAAGCACCATGACAGTGATCACCAAAGAGGTAAGCAGTTTTCTCGGGGTGTCAGTCTGATATTACCTACCTGTTGCTGAGGGTAGGTCTGTATGTCATTGTTTATTCTTGTTTCTGGATTTCGTTTTACCAGTGCCTAAACAAAGGATTTCCCCTGGAAGGTAAATTAATGATTGGAAGCAGTCTTTTGCCAAATGATACCGTAGTGGTTGGCAAGAGTTAATGTGCTTCCCAAAGGCAAGGGGGGGGACGCATTTCCTGGTTATTGCCTCTGATCCCTTGCTACCCTCTAAGTTCCCCAAGTCTAAATCAGTAATGAAGTGCCACAGTGCCCTGTGTTTGAAATAGTGAGTGGCATTCATAGGTAATTTTGACCAAATCTATTTTGGGGAAAGATTTACTGATCATTTACTCATTTGACAGCCTCAGTTATTACTTATAAATCACATATAATGCAGTGAGAATCTTGCAGGTAAGAAAACAACTTCAGTAGTCTTAGTAATTGAGAAAGTACAGCCCAAATTAATGAAATCTGTTGGTTTAACTACCTCTTTCACCCAGTCTGTTTAGAAGCATGAAATGAGCTCATTTCTGCCTCTAAGAACAACGGTTGTTTACGTAAAGAATTGATAGTAAGGCCAGTTGTGCTCCTTCTAGGTTGGTTTCTTCCCTCCACTAAAATAGATGATGGTGCAGAGACATTCTGATGTGACTCTGTGTTTGTATTGTGTTTATTAGTAGTTTTTGTTAGTTAATGGCAGAAAAACAAATGAAAGTCTCTCCCAGCATTCCTTTGTGGGAATTTACGTAGTACATGGGTGGTTCATTGGTCGAAAGGGTGCGGTTATAATTAAAACCTCATATCTGTTCTTGTTTCAGTGTCATTACCATGAATTATAATCTTGGGTAAATGATTTTTATCACATAAACATAAATTTCCCATCTCTGATATTGGAAACACTGTAGTATTCGTCATTCAGTTATCTTAGTGCTATGGTCCAGAGCTGAGGCATGTCTATAAATACTTCTGTAAGTGGCAAAGTCAGAAAGGAGTATAAGTAACACAAATATCCAGCTTTGGTTTCTGAAATTGTGTCAAAGGTAAATTGGCGCTTTGTGGATCTGGTCAAGTAATATTAACAATTAACTTTACAGCAAAGTTGACAACTGTGCCATTTACTATTTAGCAGAGATCAAACTTGACAAATGTATGATTTTATGTAAACTAACTGGTACTTTTCTTTTTTTTCCTTCTTCTCCCCATTTGCTCTGCCTTTGCTGCTGTTTTGCCTATAGACAGAGATTCCATCAAGGTAGGACTCAAAATTACAGATGAAGGAATGGCTTAAAAGGGGGCTCTCAATGGTTTGAATAAATGTAGTAATGGATTCTTTGAGATTTACAGGATGATTTGGTGGGCTGTACCAAATAGTGGTAAACTGCATTTTTATATTGCTTTCAGTTGTGCGTTTGAGATTTTTTAAGATATTGGTCCCATTTCTCTATCAGAATCAGATTTATAGACCAAGGTTGAATTATAAGATCTGGCTTGCATTGCTCTTTTTATTATGTCTTTGCCATGTGAAAAAGAATAACTGCTTTTCTTCAGTTAAGCTTTGGCTATAAGATAAATAATAATGGGAAAAAATTGCTTTTTAAGGAAATAAACATTTTGGGAAACAGTTCCATCCTACAAAACTCTTTATCAGAACATTTAAGAGCATTTTTCTTCACCAGAAAGAATTTTTTTTTTTTAATTTAATGACATCTTGGTTTCCAGTATAGCAAGTTATTCTCCTTAGGTTTTGCATTTGTCTTATCTGCCTTCTCTATCTCTTTATAGAGAAGTTGTAGGGAA